ATGATGACGAAACTTTTCAGGTCATCTGCAAACGGATCAAGAGCCACCAAATGAACAAACCTTAAAATCACCGGAAATACCAATATTTTAACGTATACTTTCCACTCAGGGAGCAGTGTGCTTTCACCAAGCTGCAACTTGAAGTCAGGTGGTTTCCAGTCGATGCATGGTTAGTATTGTCGGATTTTACAACACGCGGCGGTATGTTGGCCTATTTTTCTGATGTTATCGGCGCTTCCACGAAACAGTTAGGTTAGACAGTAATTAAGCTATCGTTTTGCATGATCAACCAAGGAAGAAATTCTGTTTCTTTCGCGTATTCTTGAGCAATATGTTATGGTCCCGGTAAGTAACGATTTCGCGTTTGTATTGACTGCTCCGTCGGTTACCATGCCAACACACCAAAAGCTTTGTTGTGGACTAGTTTGCTGTATCATCGGTGAACGCTTCCCACCCAGAGAGGAAGGGAAACAACAACAGTCCAAACGATTCAGGGATAAATATGCTTCATATGCCGAACGAGTATAAACTGTGAGAACTAAAGAGTAAACAACAACTTAGAAAGGTCATGGCCAAACAAGCAGATAATAGGCTTTATTGTTGGATTTCGATGACGGCGTAGCAGCGTGCAGCGACTTCCGGTGGGAACAGCATACAACAATTATATGGCGGTTCCAGTCGTCATCTAATCAGCAAAGTCTAGTACCGGAATACCTTTGATTGTACAAGAGAACAGTCATCGATAACCTAACTTTGGATTCATATAGCAACTACGAGAATACAATCGTCTCCCCTAAGTTTGTGCGCACTATGTGCTCTTCGGTTTAGACCTGCTGCCTGAACTTAAAAAGCGCTTCACAGCTTCCCGAAAAGTATACCTAACACTCCATACCAATCGGCATCATTCTCAAATCCGCTTCCCCTTGTAATCACATCATTCCCGGTGGCTGTTTTTGTACCTTTGGCTACTCTTCTGAAGCTAACTAAAATTGCCACTGACTAGGTAGGAAGTGATGCTGTCACAGCATACCATTAGCATGTCAATGGCCCAAAATCCGAATTCGGACGTTACCGAAAAATTTATCCCAGAGTCCTCGAGATTGAATCCCACGAGTATCACACAAGAGCAAGCTCAAACAGAGCAGTAAGAATAACGGTCTAGATAGGGTGGGGATACTTATCACAAAAGCATTGTAAAAGCAGTGAATTCAGCTGCAGTGTGGAACAGTCAGACACTGCTATTTGTTTGCATTCAACGTGGTTTACACATTCCGGCGAATAGCTTGGCAATTTGATTTGCAGCCGTCGTTTCCGACAGTGCTATTCAGCGAAGAGCGAATAGCACGTTGTTGATTGAAAAAAAGTGAAATGTAACTGATTTGTCAGTGCTATACCTGCCTCATATATTCCGTCCACATTGTTATTTCTCAGTTTCACCTCTGCAGAAGGGATTGTTCACACTGACTCTGAGGTCAAACTGCATAGTTAGGTTTGGATTGCTCATATTGATCAGAGGTAGTGGCATCTGAGCGGCTTCCGGGCAGAGTAAATCCTCCCTGTAAGCAGCCCCAATGGGATGGAGAGAAAGTGATATCCCTTGAGCCCTTTACAAAAAATCACTATGGAAAAAACGTCACTGTGTGTCGTTTCCTTCTGCATATGTATTGCAGGTGAAATGCTGTTTGTTTACTGGGTTTGCGCACAAAGGCGATGGATATATGAAAAAAATGACGTTCGAATTGAGTATGAGTCGGACTGTTGTACGTGCTACCACTCTTTATGGACAGCAACCAGAATGCAAGAATTACAAACAATGATTCGCCCCCAAGAAATGCCTAACAGGCTGTGTTTGTCTAGCCTGTTTTCTCCTAGGTGGAAGCAAACGACAGTAATTCACCTGGTGTACGTAAAATGGCCATTTTCTTGGTCTAAAAAGCCGTTGTTGTAGTAAAAAGTAGCTTGTTTTACTCCAACAAGATGTGAAATACTCAGCGCCAATATGAATTACACAATATCCATATGAAACAGTGTGATTGTCATCAGTGACGTTCGGTTAGGTCATTATCAGCGAAGATGAATGTGCACTAAGTAAAGGACTCCCTCAGAAATGTACACTATCGTCTGGACAGATCAAAATCACGCCTGACCTGAGAGAAATACTAGCTCTGTATCTTTTTTGTCATATTTTCCTCCACAGTTTGAAGAAAAACGAAATAACAAACGTAGCAAAGCACACAAGAGTTAGTACTTTTGAAAATAAGGAGTGTTCTAACTATCAAGAACGGATGAATTTGGAAACTTTAAACGCATTTTTGAAAGTGTCCGTCGATAGTTGCATCTGATTTCTTGTCGAGCAAGACACTTCAGTGGGAAAGAGATACACGATACATACGGATGTACACTCATCAGTTTTCGGTGACTGCTCTACAGCTCTCGACTTCATCGAGTTATTTGGTTCTTTCAAAACCTGTCTGTAGCTAGGTCAATTCCTTGCTCGCAGTGTTCATAGAAAATAATTTGTTAATCAAACTCATATGCGATTGAAACCCAACCGAATGGGCTTGTCATCAGAATCACATTATAAAGAGACAGCAACAGATATTGAACTGGTACCTGAAATTATTCAATTTGATGTGGTACGAATTGGGACTCTGTCCAAGGCTGCATGAGATAAAAAGTGGAAGCAACACCTTTCTTTTAGTCACGGCCACTTTTTCTACCCTTGAGTAGCCAGCTAAATGATGTTGTTGGTTCTCTTAGACATCGTTAGGCATGCATGCACTCAGTGGTTAGAGGGCGAATGTACTGACCTGAGAGTTCGTGGTTCAAACGTCCGACCTCTGCCTCTCAACGTCCCCTGTCTAGGTTTGTGCAACCTGACAGTATCCCAGCCCTCCTATTTCTCCTGGTGGCATGGTAATCGGGCATCGAGAGGGCGCTACAGCTTAACGATTCTTGTCCACTATGCATCACTCTACGAATACTACTTGGCTATTCGGTTTTTCTAGCCTAAATAATTTCGCCTAATTTTCATAGAGTGGACTTGCATTGGATATTTTTTAAAGCATCCGGGCAACGGCTCAGATAGCACGGCTTGATAAAAAATCCGGTTACTTCAAAGATTTGACCTTGATTAAAACATTATATCAAACTTTTAATGCGCCGTAATTTAGTGAGAAAATCGCTCTTCATACTTGTATGCTTTCGAATGATTTAACAGACGGTGCTCACTAGTAACTCTGTGGAATCGAAGAAGAAATAAACTTATGCTTCACTTAACATAGGAGAAACGACTGAGCTGCACTCAAAAAATCATTGCAGTGTAAGTGTTTGAAGAAGCTATAGCTATTCTCAACACTCCAAACGTTCTCGTCAATAAGAAAATGCTTCAAACCCATCTGCTGATTGGTCCCTTGCTTTTGAAACCGTGGCGCACTGTTCAGTGCTACCACTTAGTTCCTGGCATCCCTTTCGGTTCGTGGAAAAATGCTTTGGTCAGGAGCATAAACCAGAAATTACAAAATCAGTGAAATTATGAGCAGTAAGATCATCAAAAACCCCAGTACTGCCAAAGCCGACTGCTCGTGTGATGTAACCCAAATTATGCGAGATCCAGTTAGCTAACTTTGCCATTCAGTGAAAAACTGCAGATGAGGACAAGCCATGCTCCTAGGTAGCTTGTTTGGTAAAGTATCTAACTATTTCCGAACGATGTTGCTTCTAACCCAGGTAAACCTACACCAAAATTTGCCCCCATTTTGTCCGGGAAAAAGTTCATTTCGTCAGATGCGATTTTATTAACTCCAATGTGTGGCTACACTTCTGTTTGATTGTTGCGCAGGCCGGGTTGTGCTTTGAAAGATTGTCAATCTTTCCCTCTGAAAATATGAAGAGTGTGAGGATGCAATGTAAATCCATAGTTCCTTTCAAGACATTTCACTGAGAATAGCAAACACCAGCATTTGGAGAAAATACGTATGGCTCATATGACAAGCTGGTCCATTTATTCAGGCTTAATTTCCCACATTTGGTGTATAATCTCCACGTTTGTTTTGTTTTGCGGTTAATGAGGGGTTGAATGGTAACGTGCCGGCTTTGCTTGTATATATGTGTTCGCTTTATACTGGCTCGATGGCTAAAATATACGTAGTGTTTAGTGCCAAAATGTGCGACAGCAGGAGAATACCTGGTGTGTCATCGAGAAAAATTCTCCATTGATTTTCTAATCACATGAATTAAAAGAATGCAGAACCCTTCTAGGACCTTTTACCATGAAGAAATAAGTGTCTTTCCCCAATAGTTTTCATGTAGCTTCTATATTTCTCATAATACTCATCAATCTGAAAATGCACGACGTCCCCGAGAAAATGATGGCACATTAAGCTTGTTTGAAATGCCGAGCTTTCTTTTTGAAATATTTACAGAAGCTAGTAAACCAAAGCCTTTAATCTCTAATCCTTAACTTATGCCAACTTAGTTCCTAGCGGCATATTTCGCTGCTCCGCCGATTTTCTTCGAACTCACCGAAATCAGTGGTCGTGTATGGTTTTGGACGAATGTGTGTATGCCATGTGTCGTGTAAGAGAGGCTCAATATTTGTTCTGTGCCACTTCTCTATGCGTTTCCGAGTTTCTTCCCCTAGTTTACAACATCCAGTGAGTTGGAAGTTCGTTCTTATCCATATTCAGTCCTATATAGTTAATTTCAACCTGATGTCCAGGTGCAGACCGCCAGTCACATATAGTATGCGGATAGAATTACAGCCGATTGGAAAGCTTGCATTTGGAATCCGGAATAAATCAGATAATCGAGAATTGTTTGTACTTATGCAAAATCATTATGAAAATTGCGATCAAAATGGTACCGGTAGGTAGTTCCTTTCGTGGACATAGTAAAACATTATATAAGGGGTTAACACTGTCGTATACGTTTGAGCTGAACAAACGTACTTATTGGCCATAAAAATAAAACAAATTTACTTGAGGTGGAGCCAAAGTTTCGTAGTTTTCCGTAGTTTTGGAATCGGTTATGTCTAAGAAAAGGTTGAAAAAATGCCGTCTCATCGGATTGGCACACTGTGAAGACAGTCTATCCGAGAATGTTAAGCCTATATTACTGGGAATTGAGATGTAAAGTCTATTCGGAAGACAGATAGGGTGTGGAACACTGGGAAACCTTTTTATTAGTTTGTGTCTACATGAAGTCGCTGTTCATATGCTTATTCTTTAACGGCAGTTGATCGATTTAGATTTCCAGTTCAAACCACGTAACAACTCCACTTGCAGAGCTGTTACTTACGTATTGAAATCTGCCATTTTCGGAGACCGTTCAAGATTCACAACTGCGTAAGCAGACCTGCAACTGTGGCTAGCCCTGGAGGGTCTTAAGTATTATACTCCTGGGGCCACCATATTCAGGAAGTCAGTTGGGCTAAGTAACCACTTTCTTTGGAACGTTTATCACACTGAGCAAGTAAAATCGGTGTTCAGAACAAATGTTCTTCAAATCTTTGTATATCTGTATTTCTGACACATGTGTTTTGGGACCTATTTTCTGCCTCCTGCCAATTACGGAAGTAATTAAAATGCTGAATACATACAGCACGAAATTGATGTAAAAGCTTTGGACTTCTTGCCGAAGCGAGTAACCTAAACCGGACACCCTTAGCTTGGTGCACATCAGACCATCTGCGGGGGCCGGATACCTTTGGGGATACACGACAAAAATAAAAGCTTAGCGGAATGAACAATGCACAGATGTTATTACTTCTCTGGCTGCCTTCAGCTGTCTGTCATTTGTTTACTGTCAAGCAAATATCGTGCTTACAATCTGGTGAGTGTTTCACCATGATCCAAAAAGAATAAAAGCCCTGCCTTCAAGTCACTTTTATAAAGATTTGTTAATTTTCAGCACTCAGGTCTCAACGGGTGTTACCATACTACCCTGTGCTAAAGGTCAAGGTGAATAAGTACGATTGGCATGTTTCGGAAAAGACGTACTCACCGTTCGTAACCGGGGACACCTCAACTTTGTACAGAACAAACCTGTCCTAGCCTTCTGAGTAACAAAGCACACTTCGGAAACCGTTGACAGCGGACCTAACATTAAATCTAGGGTGGCAAACTGAATATGACTTAACATACTCGTTAAACTCATTTCTGTGACTGATTTTGCTCAGTTCTTAATAGTGTGCTCTGTTTGCTCATGATCTTTGCAATATCCTTATCCCAAATGAATGTTTAATCCTATTCACGGTCATAACCTCCATAATTTATGCTTATGTGTGCACGCTAATAGCAAAACGACCTAAGAATTTTCCAGAGTTTCCTAACTGGGGAATTGGATAATGAAATAGGACTACACTACTCACTAAAATATTCCGAATAAGGACTGCTGGTTATACCAAAATTTCTTTCCCAGAAGCAATATATCTGACGTAAAATACTAATAAATGGAACAAATTCGAATCAATCACCAGCTGACAAAAGTCAAATACACTTAAACAGAGGGTACTGATCTTGGTCCAAAAGTCTGCACCGAGTACGCTAATGTCAAGTTTGAACTAATTGTGCACATTAGCGGTCGCACGTAGTTTGAGCTCGTTCCAAGTGCGAATGGTTATTAACGCAGGAATGAAAGCTGTTCATCGAGAAGATGCTGTATCACACAGCAGTGATGATTGGATCATCAAATGGGCGAGGAACTAATGGCAGTAATTTAAAGTGCGTTAGAGGCTACGTATCCTGCCTGTTGCCCAGCTCTATCTCAACTTCTCCCAATGTATTTCTTTTCCTAAAGGTTGTAATCGAAAGTTTAGCACATCGTTTGTAGATCTTGGGGTCAAAATTTTAATCCCCTGGTTTTATCTGGAACTTTATCTCTTTTCTCAGAAAGCTTTGGCCCAAACGCAGGGACACTTCGCCAGTGTCTTAATTATTCAGTTACAGTACAATAATTCTCTGTGTCATAGTCCATCAACCGCATTGCAAGAGGGAGAGATCAGGGAGAGAATGTCATGGTAAAGACGGACACACTAATTCTTCAACGCATTTATAGTGTGGGCTATCCTGTTAGGATGGGTTTCATTTTTTCTAATTGCGGGAAAATTTTTGCAATGGAAGAGTCGTGTAAATACATTCGATTCCCGGAAGCTACTAACACGCCTCATTTACTAGGGTTTGCTCTGAGCTAGAAATCTTGAGTTCAAGTTCCATCTCACTGGAGCAAAATAGAAATTGAGTCCCCAACTCAGGTACTTAGTTAAGCTTATGGAGTCATGATTTGGTAAACTGATTTCAGGCTGTTTTTTGCTCTGCCAACTTCGAGTTCCAGCTCAAGCAGTTTGATACTGCTAGTGAAGTGGATCAGAAGAGAGATGAGACATAATAGGTGACCGCAGCCTATTGAACAAACATGGAATGCATAAGGGTTATTAAAGCAGCGTGAAAATGGATGCAAGGATTATTGACAAGGATACAGTAGTAACGATTAATTCACGAAAAATCCCGGAAGTAAAGTTCATGAATGCGATTAATATGTTCTGAATATTTGGAGGAGGCGACTGAGCTCGAATGGATACCAGCATAATGAGCGGAAGTTTACAGTGAAGCAAACAGAATGAGCAATTTATTACACACGAGATTACTAATAAGGCTCGGAAAACCCAATGTGATTGATTGCGACTTATCATGTATTGGCCATTTTTCTATTCATTGACCAACAAGCTGCTCTGGACAGTGGTTTCCAATGTTTACTTAGAAAATATATTTGAATTTCGCGTGATTTCTTCCAACTTATTTTTAGCTATGAGTCAGTTGAAGGTTGCTCACACCAACACCAGAGATAAAAAAGACGCTAGAGATTGATTTGACCGATATCTACTTCACAGTGAAATTTGCGGCCAGTTCTCACCGGTAACTCATCCACGATCCAACCTATCAGTGAGCTGAAATACTGGAATAAGACGTCCCTCAAGTCTGAGCTTGTCTAAACCCGGTTTAAACCTAGAGCCTAATCTTATGACACCGTGAACTGTTTTGTGTTTTACTGTGTGTTTTGTTACTGTGCAGCAGTATGTTTACAGAACTAATGGTCAGGTTGAAAATGTAAGCTAAGCAAAACACCCGCAGGTCTCGTTATTTCTGGCTCATTTCTGACCGCTAAATTCAAGAGCACAAGCCCATTCAGACTGTAAGTTTGGAAAGTACAGTACCATCCACTGTTGAGCGTGGCAGTTTTAGGACCTCGAGATAGGGACACACTGAACGTTCCCATGAGAATTTACCAGTGCGATCACCTAGATTCACATAAATTTTTGAATGTTTCAGTGAGACCTCATGTTTGCGTACACGCGTCACTTTAGGCATGAGGGTGAAAAGTCAATCCATTGTTAAATAACTGGAATAACACCAGATGAAACCTGCCTGTATTCATACACACCAATGGAGATCCAATTTCAGGGCACCACAAAACCCCATCTTGACAGAAACAAACTGGCATGGTCGTAGTACACACAGTGGACAAGGGAACGCTCTAAATGACTTTGGCAACTTACTCCAAAATTCTCCGTGCCTTTTCTGTGAGCCGATGAAGACGAGCCAACTCTAATATACGATGTTCTGTAGCCATTCGCTTCGAGGCAGCTGAGCGCCGCGGCACATTTAAACTGCCGAAGGAAAAACAGCTTACTGAGAACCGATTTGAGGGCAAAGCCTACCCTGGTGACGCAAAATAGTCTGTTATATTTCTCATGCAGGAATCATACACTTTTGGGGTATGCACAGATAAGCAAACTAAAAACTGATTGTATTGGACACTTCTGATATTTGGCCGTAGGGCTCTACTCCAACAGTTAGGAGTAGGGAACGCGATAAGAGCTTCTCGGTAAAAGAATATATACGGACCTATGTGCTCCAGGCAAAGAATATATATGCAAGCATTGAGCCCATGGCTCCACAGAAGTTACTGCTTTTAGAGACAACCAATCAGTTTGTTGTAGTTTACTGTGAGGTAGTGAGAAAAGCACTGGGCATGTCGTGACCATTTTGGTCAGATTCGTGATGCAAAAACCTGATCACTTTGCAGTGAAATTATGGAATGCTGTGGATTCCTGCAACTACAAACTCAAGTACCATATGAATAAGCAAAATGATGAAATCAGTTGATATGCATGATATTGCCCACGATCCTTTCAAGAAGCTAATCTTTTCACATTTTTGTGACAAACCAGCCTTTTGTAGGCCTTCCAGTTTTGCCATAGATCAAATTAAAGGCGGTACGATGATAACATAATAGTTGGAGGCCACTAAGGGCGTAGAACTACCTTATACAAACTACTTATTTCATGTAGGTTGTAAATATTCATACGTTTACTTGAATAGATTTTTGGGAAGCACCGCAGACATTCGTATAATGATTCGTTGAAATTAGCCGAATATGCATCGTCTTAATGGTGGACGCCATGCATAATTTAAGAACTGTTTGTACATAGACATCATGTGCAATATTATCAAACAGGTCAAAAACTCGTTTTTCCAATTCTGGAACTAATCTATCGCAGTTATGATGCATATTGGCTCGTACCCAACACACACCGTCCAATCATGGTTGCATGGTAGCAGCTGCTTATTCATTACAGTCCACTTCACGTCGTTGATGTGTTGGTCCAAGTCGTTCGACAGCTACAGATGGGCCACTTTGTAATGTGTTATCTATAGCATTCTGATTGCCCCCCCCCCCGCATTAAAAACGGATTGACCTAGTTAGGAGTATAGTTCCTCTGTGTCGCGTTGATCAAATTTCTACACTTTGCATTTGCAACAGAAATTCATTTTTTTTCAATGTCCAGTTATTTCAATATACACAGCACAATCCAATAATACTAAATTCTCAGGTTGTAAACTCCTTTTCATAAGTTTGAGGGAAGCAAACAAAATATGCTCTAAGACATGTTCCTGATGGTCGCATTTTTACACAGCTTCAGTCTGTTTCTGCAACCTCGATAGACCTTATTATCTCCAACACATGCTATTACCGTGGAAGTTGAGTGCTGTTAACTAGACCTCTCCCCCAGCGCATATTCAAGGGCCGTGCCGGGATTTGAACCCCGGAGGTCTGACATGTGAGGTGAGCGTCCAAACGAGAGTGGTGTGACTATGAAGAAAATACCTATCCCGCAAAACCCCAAAACTGCAACCAAAAAGTTGTCCAGTGGGTTTCAAGCGTTTGTCACGCTACCTGACTTGGAAGTCCTGACTGGCGTGTCAACCGATCGTCACAACCAGGACAGTCACTGGGTCGTCGTTCAATCAGTCGGGCACACCAATCGCGTGAACACGTTCGCTTAATCAGATTGAACTAAAGTTTCGCTCTTATCAGAACTCTTCAGCAGCGCATATTCAAGGGCCGTGCCGGGATTTGAACCCCGGAGGTCTGACATGTGAGGTGAGCGTCCAAACGAGAGTGGTGTGACTATGAAGAAAATACCTATCCCGCAAAACCCCAAAACTGCAACCAAAAAGTTGTCCAGTGGGTTTCAAGCGTTTGTCACGCTACCTGACTTGGAAGTCCTGACTGGCGTGTCAACCGATCGTCACAACCAGGACAGTCACTGGGTCGTCGTTCAATCAGTCGGGCACACCAATCGCGTGAACACGTTCGCTTAATCAGATGTGAAAATTCAGACGCGTCCAACGTGCGTTGGTAGAGTAGTGGTTACACATTCGACTCGCATGTCAGAATTCCGGGGTTCAAATCCCGGCACGGCCCTTGAATATGCGCTGCTGAAGAGTTCTGATAAGAGCGAAACTTTAGTTCAATACTTGCCTTTGGTGTGGACTCACCGGAATAATTACACCAGAACAGGAGGACGACCGTTCAAACGAGAGTGGTGTGACTTTGTACACTAAAAGCGTTGTAGTTAACAACACTCAACTTCGTCGAGCCACTACTCCATCAACGCACGAGAGTAGCGTGAATCTGAAGGAAATACCTATCCAGCAAGACCCAAAAACTACGACGCTTTTAATAAATCATCGAGTAGGCAACAAGCCCATAAACGTTTTACGGATGTTTTTATATAATCTAAATAAAACATATTAAACATAGATTGCAATTAAAGAACCCGTCAAATGCCACAAAGCAACTGGTCTGTCCCTGTCGCATCATAGCACGCATACGTTTGTTGAGAAGACTTCAGCAGTCGATTAGCACTTTTGACGTTCTTGGAGCGCAATAGACAGGCATGCTCTCTCTGTCTCTGTCAACTATTTGTTTCACATAAACGTCAAGTGGTGTGAAATACACTAATTCGTAAATTACATAAATTTTAACAGAAGACATTTTGAACCCCTCAATTGTGAAATTCTCTAGTGGCATACGCAAAAAAGCACTTCATGTTTCGGTTGACACGGTGTTTGAGATGTCGCAACTTTCCTAACATAAAAATCAGAAACGGGCAACTGAATTATGTCTCTCATTAGTGCCGGTGACGTTTACAATACAGTGCATTCATCCAAAATCTCATTTGTTTCTTTCTTGTGTGTGGTGAGCATGTTGGAGCTGCCTGATGTGACCGGTAGAAGAATGGACAAAAGTTCTGAACAATTAAAGAATATTATTACCGTTTTCCTAATTTTTTGCTTTCATAGAAAATACCGACTACTTCCGAAGAGATAACAATTTAGTCTCGTGATTCTTTCGAATATTGCCTAAAAGCCTCCGAAACACGGTTTTGAGAACAACATGATCTTGTTGAAAAGCACTAACCATGAGGAAATGTTTTCGATGTCAGTGACGCACTTTTATGGTAAAACCGATGCCAAAGCTTACTGGGCGTTTCCAAAGCAGTGCCTAGAATAAGCGCGAAAAAAATCGAAACTTATAGGAGAAAGTAAACAATTCAGATATAGTAGTGTCGGAGCAATATAAAATTGGCGTGAGGTTTTTTGGAGAGGCAAGCTTTCACTAAGATAACTATTGCCCCGTCATGTGAGCTTGTGCATTAAATTGTTAGGTGTGGAATTCTCAGGAGTTGCAACACACAAAGCGTGCTCTGAAACATAGGAGTGAATGTAAGAATAGCACTTAAGGAATGCAATGATATGGTCTCAGGATATAATAACTTTGCCAAAAGAATGTCGCAGTACTTCCACCTAAACTGAACGAGGAAATAGGATTACCATTCTTTGAATTGTGCTCTTTGAAGACACCTACCTATAACCATGTCTTCAAATAAAATCAGCAACTCCAAAGCAAGTAACCCATCACCAGAAACTACCATCAGCAGAAACTACGCGAGTGTAAGCATATTACTGAACTATTGGGCACAAGGATGCTCATCTGGTAATTTCCTGTAAACTTTCACTGAAGGAAAGTCAATGGAGACAAATGAAGGCACCCGAGTTGGACGAGGCGAATCATTGGGTTAATATGTGCGTTTATGAATCACAAAAAACGAAACGGCGCGAAGTAACCTCTAAATTCCTCTACAGCGAACCGTATGACAGAAGATTGGCCGAGAAATGGGGACCACAATACCTGATACTGATGCACCAACATAAGTAAACATGTTTACTTTGATCCCAAGCATTCAACCCAATTGTATACCAGAAGCGAACTTTACTCGCTTCTCTCTTTGTAGCTTGTTTTCGCGCATGTGGCGTGGATATCGAAAATCAAGTTAATCGATCTTAATTTGTGACGATAGCCCTGATGGAAACGATTCGTTACTAGGATTCGTTTGTGTTACCCCCTTGTGGCTTGGACTAGCTTTAGTTCATGAAGGCAGAGGCGAAATGTTGATTCGCCTGAAGACTGTAGAGACTATCCAACCGTATACTGTGCTAAGTCGAACATACTACTTAATCCACAACCCCGAGTAGTACGTTTGTAAAAAAAAGTGATACGCTACAGCATAACCGTTTACCTCCATTCTAGTCAAACCACGGGCGTGATCATGTCAGTGCACCCAAAGTTTTCCGATAGTTTTTACACCAACATTTGGTGGTCGGTTTATTGTTTGAGAGCAAACAAAAAATGCGAACTTAACAACAAACCTGTCACAAAATGCACTTGAGGGAACGGAAAAGTTTGTTACGTCATTTTTTCCTAAAACACTGATTCAACCTACTGCAGTCCATACAACCAGGCTAATCAACTTAGAATAATTAGTTCATTCGTTTTAATCTTTTTCTGCTGATAGACTGAACAATAAACAGCTAAAGGAGATATTTTGGACTGGCTTCTCTTCCGAGGTCCGGGCATCTTCACCGGCCGGATTTGAAGTAAAAGTACGCCATTTTGGTGTGCTTCTTATCAAAATTTAGACGGATCAGTTAAAGATGGTGAAAAAAGAGCTTGGTTAACGTTGGCAACTATCTTGAATAAATAAGCTGAAAAAGCCGTTTGAGGTTAGCTTGCAACACTTACTGTCGACCCTGAAAGCATCGAAAAATCCTCCTCACTATTTGTCCCCAAGTTTTATTATTTCTTATTTTCCCCACCCAAACATTATATGGAAGAGGGTCAAAGCACTCGGAAGGATATAGTCTTTTGTTTAAAAATTTGCAGTGAACATATATTGCTTTTGGACACAATCAGACAAACATAGGACTCTACAGAAAGCCGTATGTTTACATACGTTTTGGGAAACGCCCCTTTTTATGTAAATTTAAAAATATCATAAACGCATCATAAACAAGAGATTCAGCTGCATTTCAGTTAAGCTAACCGTCAAAGCCAAGTGGTATGCGAATGAATGTATTTTGCTAATTTTGTGCAATTCGGAAACGGTGAAACCGGTTGTGGGCTGTCAAAGAGTTGCTAGCAGTGTGGGGAGATTCGGGATTTTCGTGGAGATTTTGTCCTGCAAGTGAAGCCAATCTATGCCGAAAAGCCGAAAAGCACTGTGCAGCTGTTTCATCCTTAATGAGAATCATCAGCAGTGCGCATCTCACGAAACTCCGGAGAGTTTCGAACCCGCGACCTCCTGACCAGTAGTATGAGCACTTGACCATTCGGCTACAACTGGCTAATCAGCATTTAGGCAGCATATGGCGCTGCTCGTCTTTCAAACACGAGACCCGTATCACGCGTTGACTGCTTCCTCTAGCAACGACTTCTTAGACGGAAGTTTCACTCATCAGGTGAAGTTTATTCCTGCACTGAGCTACTTGTAGATTGTTCGTAGTGTAAGAAGATTTGGGTTTTTCGTGGAATTTTCGTCCTGTAAGTGAAGTCAGTCTATGCTGTCGAAGAGTTTTCAACAACATTATGAGTAGTGTAGTGTGTTTAAAAATATGTTTGTCGAAGCCGCGAAAAGGCTAATGCTTGTTAAACGGTCCAGAATAGATTTAAAAACGGTGAAATCATTACTTTTAATTCTAACTTGGGTGGAGTAAAATTAGAATGTTTATCTGCCTTGCAGACCTCGCTTTGTGCTCATAGTAAGTGCCAACTATGAATCACACAAAACTCTTGCCGATATGTATTAGTGGGTTCGGACTCGTATCCTTCGCGGCGATTAGTCAAGTTGATAGAGGCTTAAATCAAACCATCCTCATCAGTATACACCTACAAACGAGCTTGCAGAGCTCGCCTTCTTACTGCTATCTATTGATCATCATGTGCTAACTTCCCCAACTCAGCAAGTATTTCTTCAGTATACCTTGTCTCTGACCACTGAAGTCAAAACCTTCGGACGTGTTGAAATGCCCTTCCAATTGCAATGAGGCTAGTCCCCTTATTTGAGATTGATGTGGTTTAGCAGTACATACGACACGCTTCTGTGGACAGATATAAGCGAGGTTATTAAACCTGAGCATTGAGGTTGCTTCGGGTAAAATTCAGTATGTGAAACAGACCGACACCACGTACAACTGGGTCAATAGCACAGAAACTCTTTAATAGCAGGAAAAAAACTCTTGAACAGGTTAGGTGACAAACTGTAGCCTATGATATACTTTATTTGACGACTTCTTCCATCTTATCACTGCTACAAGTTCTCCGATGGAAACAACTTTTGTTTAACTAGCAGGGATCCAGATTCATAAAACTACGCCCTGGATACATTAGCGTGCTTTACGGAAGTCCAGAGCTCGTATTTTGCACTATGTTTGTATTCACTGAGAAAATGGGCAAAAAATATCATGCACAAATCTCCGTAAATATACAAAATAGGTGATGGACAGGATAAAATCCAGGGTATTCTCCCATTAGAAGAGTCACTGGATATCACGTTAAATTAATCGTTAACTGCTATAGGCGCTGCGAAATAAAACTCCCGGAATGCACAATAAGACTTTGTGTTATGAAACGGTGCCTTGGGGGATCCCACCACTTTATCGATTATTTCTTTCCGTTTGTTTCTAAAGCTATATTTGTTCAGTAGTAGAGGAACACTTTATCGATTATTTCTTTCCGTTTGTTCCTAAAGCTATATTTGTTCAGGAGTAGAGGATTACTTCTGGTGATAGATACAACTTCCTGACCCAACATTCTTCTATCCGATTTGTCACTGGAATAGTTAAATTATTTATCCAAGTATAAGTAGAACTACAGGTGAAGCATTTACTTCATAGGCTGATCTGGTATAATGTCATATAGTTTGTCTGCAAGGAAGCTTTATGGACTGACACTACACCCATCATTTGGTTGGTCGGAAGTACACCTCTTCAAGGATAGTTGGAGCGAATCGCCTGCATCACTTAGTAACTTAAAAATAAACCATCCAACTTATGAAAGTACCAGCGAGACCATAATAGGTGTTTTAGAAAACTCAATTTTCCACTCCCGCATTAAACGCCTAGTCGAAAATAGACAGCTAAATTTTTAGCAAGCCAACTGTGAATGGTTTCCGTTCTGAGATACACGCAAAGATCAGTTCAATAAAACTGTTACACCAAAGCGTTTTACTCGCCATGCACCTATGCGTAAGTGTACTATTCTAAACGGGTGACTTGGTCAGGTTGTTGATATTCCGTTTGCTGACATTGAACACTATATGCAGCCGCGCTAAACACAAAGTGCAACGCAGGTATTATCGTCCACTAATCTCGACCGATATTCAAAAGCGTGTAGGTGAACTTATCAGTGTAGGGATACAAACCTAATTAGGTATTATGGTGGTGATATGCCAGGGATGCCTGCTGATATAGTACTTGGTCTTTTGCGATAACGCAAATCAGAATTGCATCTTGAGAGAACCCGTAGATCTTTTGTTGCGCTTGGTGTTTAATTCTATCTTGACCTGCATTATTACTAAATTTCATCCTACGGTCAATAGAATAGTTTAAAAAGAGTTTTCATGCTGGTTGCTGTAGCATGTGTTAAGTGAAGGAGAAACGTGTAGCAAACAACATTTTGCTATTCAAAATGCGGTTCATTTTGCAGAAATATTTCATTTGCTTGAGCTGGTCAGCAAGTTTGCTTTTTCAAATGTGGTACAGAATTCACTGAACGAGGAGGAAGTTTCGAATCAATCTTGTCATAAGTTGGCTGTCTTATTTCAATTTACTTTTGCCGTTGTTCGTTAAAACCCGAAACCGTCAACACCTTATTTGCACGGTACTGTCTAATGTACGATCTTCACATGTTTGGCAATTTGCGTGCAAGCTATCCGTCAACCAAACAGCCGTTGTCATTTACATAAATGCAAGCAGTATGTTAGGAACTACGCAACCTACTATCTAGCGGTGGTGTTACTCGTCAGCTGATTGAGCACTAGCAAACTGACTATTGACTCAGTGAACAAACTAGTAACCTTTTATATGTCACTGCTGTGACTTGGGGAAGCCATACTGCTCAAGGAGAAACATTTAAAGTTCAAATCCAAAGAGCCGTGCACCTGCCGGTATCAGTTTGCTTGCTGATTCGTGCTCCTTTCTGAGAATCACGAGTGGACTACACACGGTAATAAATTAAACACGAGTAGGAACAACATTAATGGTAGCAATAATCGAGATTATAAACATAAGCTCTAAAATGTCTATTTTTTAAGTCAGTGTGTTTAAAAAGCTTTTATCTCTAGTGTCTTCTACCAGTTGTTTTATTGAAAACGTTACTCTGACTTACTAAGGTTCCTGTCGCGCAAGATATTCATAAAAGTCTCGAGCTGTTGATCCCATGGTAATAGCAACCACCAGGAAAAGGAAAATAAGCTGAAGTTTCATAGCCTCTCCTCTCTGATGGTGAAAGTGGTCCTGTAAATGTCAGAGAAGTATCGCTTTAACAAGCAGAGCAAATGAGAATTTTTAAACTCAGAGTGAACAGAAGCATTCACTTCCATGCAGAGTCAGCAAGTTTATGGGAAAGCAAATCAACCAATCGCTGCTGATGATGACAAACAAGAGACACAAACAAATATGTACGTACGAGCGTTGTGCCATAGAAACCTTCGCTGATTTTTTATAATTGCTTGCGTTGATGGGTACAAAATTGCTTATCCCATCAGAGTCAAACCTATTGCAGAATCAAGCAAGAACTCCCAAGTGTTTTCAAAGATTTCGATTGTTGTGTTTGCTGTTGGCTATTTTCAAATTGTTATAAATTTTCGGGAAAATCGTGGCATGTTTACCACATGACAGTGGATATTGTATCAGTCGGATGATTTTTAAGTAAACGAGAGGGAATTTTGACAGTGATAGAGAAAAACATCGTAGATTCGTTTTCTCACGACATATTACGATGAGACAAATTAAAGGATACCACCTTACGAAAGATTTTCGCCTCTTCCCAATGCGACGAACGTGATGAAAAAGAGGACGTTTCCGCTTGCTAAAACTTCATACAGCAGCCTACTGTCGAGGCATTTATTATAAATGGGAAGAGAAACAGGTGCCTATGTCACAAAGTAGATAGAATTCGCTACAAACTATGGGATAAATTTGAATGTTTTTCTTAAATCCTATGCATCGTTTCTGCTAAAAAACTAATTCCTTCTTTGAATCCATTCCTTTAATTATGTCCAATAGTTGTATGTCCAATAGTTCCGACCACCATTTTCAATGGATATTCTATATCAGCTTCTTGGATTGTACGTCCAGAATGCTTAGCTGATGACAATCTATGGGAATGGGTATGTGGTGTAACGATTAGAAGCATATTTGGCCTCATTTTTGATGCGCTACTAAGCAAAGGACATAATGGCACTGCAAGCATAAAGGTGCATTCTCACTTACAACACAACACAAAATTGCTCTGGACAGCATTGTGTCTGATGCAGATTAAACACTCTTTTGTGTTTACTCCAGCTGCTATTCAAGAATATATTGATCTAGCAGTACTGGTTAAGTCCAGCCGATGTATACTAGGAGCTATGGAATATACGCCGTTTGTCGCTGGTGAAAATGTTCGTCCAAAACTACACTTAGTCCGCCACTGCCTGAAACCAACGAGCTGCCTTTAGTCACCAGGTTCCACTGTGCTCACAAGCAAGAGTGCGAATTTTTCAACAAGAATTAATCACTCATGGTTGTTTGTCTATCAACAGACTGCTTATCGTAAATGTACGCAAAACTTAGGGTAAATTAACTCTTTCAGGCAATGTCATCCAGGACCGAAATTGCACGGTGAAAAAAGCGCATGATGCGTTTTGCACAGGGGTTTGTTGTTGTGGTTGTCGATTTAGGAATTCAGTACAAACATAACACTGCTGATGACCTCGACTGTAATATGGGAATGGATTAAACCGAAGAACTGTTTGATCCCTTTGTCGCAAAATCCTTAGTAAACAGTTCTTTGCACAGCACGATTCAGCTATAGCGATGAAGCAACGAGCGGAGAGTTCTGATAGGCCATTAAATGACCGGGTTCGCAAAAGCTCCATTGGAACAAGCTAATTCTGCTCCCAGGTTAAAAAAGTAAACCATCCTGGTTGGAGGTTGTTCGTGAATTCGCTAATAATCTTCTCTCTCTTCTCCAACCAACTGCACATAATCTATGTTCAGTTGGTGGATGCTGTTTATCCTTCACACTCTGATGGGATGCCGCATGTTTATGCTGCTGAACGATTAAAGAATGTTCATTGCGCTGGGTCAGTTCCTTGGTAGAATGCTCATCATAGGGTCTTTTTAGAACGGCGCTTCCTTGGTAAAAGTTACCGATGGGTACTATCCAGGAATTCGCGGCTTCCAATCTTCATGAAGGATTTGCTTCCATGTCCAGGTCGCTGTTGATGTGCACCGATGAAGCTGTGGCGACAGGGAATAATTTTTCAAAATTGACTTCAAGCTAACCGTTGGAGCATGAACAACACATCGATTTGTTCTCCCACCTAATGTAGTTTATCTTGATTCACAAGCTTAAGGTAGGATTGATATGATATTTTTATCCGAGGAGGCATCAGAAGCAGTACCAAACTATTTTTCTTCCAAACCGGAAGAGTCACGAAGCATCTTCAGAGACTCGAAACACATAACGGTTCTCGATTATTTTCTCGTGTAACTTTTCCCCACATTTCCTTAATTTATTCGTGACTTTTGGATGTTCTTCCAGCTTCATTTTGGTTGGCTTTCTCAACAGGAGTATAACTCCAATGTTTGTGGAAACCAAAGATGGTTAACTGCTAAAAAGCGCGCGAAGAACTCACTACTGATAGAATTCTCTATATGCGTCAAGATGTTATTTAGATTCATCACCTGAAGAAGTTACTATGAGTGTTGAAACCACCGTTACCTGGAGATCCCTCTGGTTGAATGTACACGGTTGCATTGGGGAGCAAAACAAAGAAATCGAAACCAGGTAATTTTTAACTTTTATGATTTATGAAGCATTTCTGAGACAAAACGATGTGCATATTTAATCAAGCAGCCTAATAACAGCGTCAATGGACCTGCAGTTTGGATTGCTTACCCAGCCCTGGTGGCCAACCAGATAACATCTAGGACAGACAGTCCGAAAAACCGCTTTCTTAACCCGCATGGCTATCCTTGATTTTTCTGTCAGCTAGCATTCAGATAATTCGTGCAATTGTCATTTCAGAGGTAAGTTTTTGAAAATACAATGGAACCCTGGCCATCTTGTCAGCTTTTCTTTGGAATTCAGGACTCTCCATCTTTGAGAACCGTCAAACCAGGCCGGTTGTTTTAAAGGAACCAGTTTCACTTAAACAAGGTAGGAGAATTTAATGTAAATGTACTGGATTTAGCGAATGAATGTTTCTATACCCAAAATGATATGAAGTGGTAGGTGATTCGTGAATCAATAATGAAACTCTCAGGTGCACAATACACTTCAATGAGGTCATGAAATCCATGTGTAGAATCACTTTTGTATGGATGGAGTAGCCGATCTTCAAAAGTGACATAATATTAGGCTTGTACTTTCTTCTGGTTTCTGGACTGTGTGGTGCCATTAAAGATTGTAGGGATTTCGCTTCGTAACAGCTGTGGGCATGCTTGTCCGATGTCACATTTTAGGTCGATTTTGTAGTGCTCCTGTTGGCCATACGAGGCAATGACCATTTGCTTGTGCATTTGCATTTCTCTGCACACTTGCATCCTGTGTTTTCATTCCCAATTGACTGCAGTTCAATTTCCCGCACAACTTTGTTTTTTGCCCTTTGACCGGTAACAAATTTCACTATGCCATTGCATGATCAACAATTGCACCAAGTCACCTTCACCAAGTATTCTGGTTCGCATTTCCTCAAGATTTTCATCTCATCATAATATTTTAGGGTGTTTTAAAAACAACACATCATATTCATTAGTAATTAGGGTGTAAGTAGCTCAGCAAAACACAACCAGTTGCAAATGAATTTGATTTTAAAAGGAGGACCCAGCTGAATTCAACCTGAATCTCTCGTTTGTGATATTCTTCAAGTTAGTGTAGTGACACGGCACGGTATTCGAGACATCGCAGTTGTTTTTTTTTAGAAAAACGCCATTCATAATGTTGTAAACTCTGATAGCCCATTACCGTTTTCGTGTGTCGGTAGAATATGCTTTCCGTTTATAATCCAGCATTCCCATTCGATAGATAGGGTAGACTAAATGGAGAGTTGGAATTCTGACTAGCAACCAGTTAATCCCAACTTATCTTTCAAGTGGATTTATTTTGCTATTTACAAAATATTCGGTGCTCAAGTAGAGCATTAGGTTGATTAAACCTTGTGGATGGCGTCTACCTAATGAACGATAAGGTGAATAAAGCAGTTCGTGAGTTGTTGGAAATTTTCAGCAACCTTATGTGTAAGATGTTCACCAAATAATTGTTTCACTTTTCGTTATGGGAGCAGCAGCCTACAGGGAGTGTGTTTGAGATAATCAGAGAGAATCACAAGATATCACTTAATCAAACTTTTGTTGGGCACAGCAGCAAATCAACTATTACGTATTTTAACGTTGCGTTGATACTGTCTTCCTTTGTAATTGATCAATGTCCGTTTACTCAGTGGAAATTTTAAATGCATCTCCCAAACATTTTGTGGAAGTTAAACCATGAATAAGTGCCACCAGAGGGAGTTTGTTTAGTGTAAGCTTCAACAAGCTTTAACGATCGATAAATTTTGCGAGAAGAAATTCCTCCGAAATAAAGTTAGCTCGGCAGCTCAAGCTGCGGGCTTGCCTTTCCTTTACTAGGATCAGTTTAATTCAGTGAGATATGAGTAGTCAAATGGATGACGATGCTACTAACCATAGGACGATTTGAAGCCAAGTTTTCGACCAAACTCAAATACTTGTGTGATATATCTATCAGTTTTTACACTGATGCATTGAAGTTATGGAGTATAGTGATGTATTTGTGTTATATGCCTGGATTTCCCGAACTTTCAAAGCTGCAAGTTTGTTTTGAAACACTGTACAACCGTTGATGCTAATGATGAGGCTGGTATTGGAGAATGGAAACAATGGGCCAAGGTTTATCTGTTTAACTGTGTCAAGCACGAGTAGAACCTGTCCACAAGACGTATTTCAGAATTAAACAACCTTAGCTGGTCATTTAACGAAAGTAGTAAGAGGAAAAATCGTCTTTTGGTCATATTTTTTGCCATACCATTTATACTATTCATCGGTATTTTATGGCCCGAAATAACCATGTATTCTTATTCTTATTCGTTAAAAAAACCAACCACTATTAGTGTGATGTCTTGTTTTTTATCAAATAAAATTCGCCAGTCATGAGGGCACTGAAAAAACCCGGAAGTAGTTATTTTCGTCATACTTGTGAATCATTTATTGATCGTCTCACAGCAGCCAATTTATAGCCACAATAGCTTTTCACTGCAGTGGACGGGGAAACCCTACCA